TTAAATCCACTCCAGACTGCCCATCAGGAAGGAGTCCTACCGATGACGAGATGAATCTGGCCATGGTGTTCAAGGATAGTATGATAAGTTCACCCCTTAACACTCTCTCGTGAAAAGATCTACCAGGACTGCGCTAACTCCAAATTTCAGAAGGGGAATATGACTTCCTTATCCCGTTAAGGAAACATTTCGTACTAATAAATCGAAGTATTATCGCTTCCACAAAAGTCACAACCATACCAAGGACGATTGCATCCATATGAAGTATACCATCGAACGAATGATTAAGCAGGGTTGGTTGATCAATTATGTCAAGAGGGAAAAAGAGACGGGGAGGAATGTCCTAAAGGAAAATCTTCCTCAAAGACTATCGATATCGATACTAGCGACGAAAGTAAATAAGCTAGTAAAATAAAACACATGTAGATCATTGTCATCACTGGAGGGGCATCTCATGCAAATCTCCCCTCCAAGGAGACTATGAAGAGAAAGATCGATGAAATGATGGTCTTCTACAAAAAGGATGTAGGTACACCTGCAAAGATTCATGGTCGGCCCATATTAGGGTTCTGGGGTTCGAATAAGTTCGGAGGCGTCCCCAATGAGAATTTCCCTTGGCGATCATCACTACCATCAGGCAGTTCAACATTTCCCAATTCATCATCGACGGTTCTAGTTCCTATGATATTATATACTCGTATTTATTTGAGAATAAAGGCCTCGACAAAGGCAACTTATGATCGTACGGTGGCTCTAACCTTTAGGCATTCAACTGAACAACCGCTCGTCCATGGGGATATGTGGAGTTGATGGTCTCTATAGGTGATGGAAAGGACATCTGGACACTCAATTCACAATTCATCATGGTCCCATGCAGGAGTGTCTACAATTGTATCTTTGGAAGACCTCTTACATCCACGATGGACGTTGTAGCCTCACTGGTGCACCTAAAGCTAAAGTATCACAATATCCAGGGAGAGTCGACCATCATCACCATCGACTTAAAAGGGGAAAAATGAATATATGAAGCCCTATAGTAAGATCCGAGAGAAGGTATGGTCATGGAGATTAATGTAGCTTTCTTCACCAAACAACTCAATTGGATGGGCATCCAGCCTCCAAAAAGTGGCTACACCAACAGAGGCTAGCAAAAGGAATAAGTGGTAGTTAATCCATCTGGTTATGTTTTCTTTGTCTCACTTATATTAAATATTGTGATTGTATAACCATCATCCTTATGTACAAGGATATTTTACGAGTATAATTGAGGCATGCCGTTTTTTATAAATATTTGCTTCTTTTTATTTTTGCATATCGACGACGAGTTCGGGGTACGATCAACAAGCTCGAGGCCTAGTACACCTAAAATCATGGGTGTTATTATAGATGCTTTGTATTTTAAATTACATCAATCAATTACCCACTTAAAGCCAGGGGTTCTGCTAGAGACGCTTTGTACGTTCGACTACAACATTCAATTCCCCACCTAAAGTCAGGGGAACTGCTAGAGACACTTTATACATCTGATTACAAAAATTGATTCCCCGTCTAATTTCAGGGTTATTGTCGGAGACATTGTACACGTTCAACTACAATAATCAATTCCCCACAGGCAATAACGGTCCACCCCCTTTGGCATTTAGCCACTCTAAAGGCCATGGTGGGTCGGCCACACGCCTACCCCTGATCAAGTTTTTATCTGGTAGGGGAAAAGGAACTGACCTTTGGTTAAGAGTGAACCTAATGACATCCAATTAACTTCAAGGGAAGACCTCATAAGTTCGCAAAAATCCATAACCATGCACTCGAGATCCTACAAATACATCTTCAACAAGTTAAAAAGTCATTCATTCCAAAATGATAGTACACACACACACACACACACACACACACACACACACACACACACACACACACACACACACACACACACACACACACACACACACACACACACACACACACACACACACACACACACACACACACACACACACACACACACACACACACACACACACACACACACACACACACACACACACACACACACACACACACATATATATATATATATATATATATATATATATATATATATATATATATATATATATATATATATATATATATATATATATATATATATATATATATATATATATATATATATATATATATATGCTTCTATTACATGGTACTATACATGTAGTACATGTAAAAAATTGGTTGATAGGTCTACTTTCACAGATAAACAATCTTTCCATCTTTGACCACTTGATTCTAGCGAATTTTCTCCCTAGAGATAATCAAAGGACGGTGGGAATGCTCCACTTGCTACAAAGCATTCTCAAATGACTATGAAACTGCCTCGAGGGTAGCAATCGTATAGTCGGCCAATCGTTGACTCAGTAATGACACTCTGTCAACATGTAATTCTTAAAGCATTGTGTCAGTTATTTTATTAAGTTTAATCTCATTTTGATTAAGTTTGATTAGGATTTACTATGTTTTGTGAATAAATGAAAGAAAAAGGAAGAAAGAAGAGAATATTAAGAAATAGTGTGAAAATGAGCAAATTTGAGGCAATTCAACATTGCAATTATCGCTCTCCATCGTGGCACGGTGCACATCTCATCATGGCGCGATGCCATGTGAAACCTGACGTGTTTTGCAACTTTATAAAGAGATCTTTGCACACTTTTAGAGATCTTTTTCTGGCGACCTAATTTTGACGATGAAGAAATATTTTGGAGCTATAAAGAGAAGGTTTTCACCATCAAAAGCCGAATTTTGACCAGAGATTCATGTATATTTATCTTATTTTTGTTGTTATGAATTATCTAATTATGAGTAGCTAAATTTCTTAGGTTGTGTTTTCTTGAGAAGAACCTATATAGATTTGGTGGAACCATATGCTGGGTCTTTGTACTGTTTACACTTTTGATTAATTGAGTTTTCTATTTAGTTAATATTTATGTTTAATACTTTGTATTCGTTTACAAATATCCATATATCGATTCAGGTTCATGTTGATTATTAACCCTAAATGTATGCATCATGTCTAAATTAACTATGCAACCTAATAGTTGAGCTAAAGATAGGAAATTGTAAGATTGTGACTTAGGGTTTAATGAACAAGTATTGTCTATTTTAACTATTGAAATGACCTAAGAGATTAAGGAGTTATAGCTTAAAATAATGAATTATACACCAATAGATTGAGTATACCAGCTTAGTTAAATCATCAGGGTAATTGAATTAATCATCGTAAGGGTAGATAGATGCTAACATCAATAGCAACATACATGAGATTAAGGATGAAATCTCTTGTCTTTTGCATTCTGACAACCTTTCTATTTACTTTTTGCATTCAAACTCAAAAGCCCTTTTGTTACTTTTAATTCGCACAATCGAACACATTGTTAAATTACAATTCTCGTTGAGACAATCTTTTTAATTATTATTTTGATACTATCAATACACTTACCGATTTGTAATCAAGTGTTTGGCGTCATTGTCGGAGATTGTTGATAATTTCAACAAGACAACTTTTATACTACGTTTTAGTATTTATTTTTTTGTTTTTGATTTGTGTTTTTTTTATACAGTACTATTAAAAATATTTTACATTGTCAATACATCACTTCTTTTCCCTTACAAAATTATATGTATGATAGAATATTGATCAAGTTTTTCGATCATGTATGAATATAGAATTAATAGAAAATATATTAATTTCAATCCAAATTACACTAAAACTTGCATCCTAGAAGGACGGTAAGAAGAATATGTGAACCCTCCAGAGTAATAGGGGGAATTGTTAATTTGAAAATGACCTTTTGATTGTGAAAATTATTTTCGAAGATGCTCTAACTTTCACCAAAACACGTTCTAAGTAAAACTCATATTTTTTTTCTTAAAATTTAATTCGAAAATACATTTCTGAATTTACCATACGTTCATTTACCCTAAATATTTATACGTAAACGAAATACACTTTGGTTTTATAAACCAATGGACAATAGGCAGACCAAGACACAAGACATTTTCACGGAACCACTTTACTAAACGGGGCAAATGATGTAAGTATCCTTATACAAAACTTAAGTCATACATCATACAAAGACAATCAAAAGTTTAAGTATCAACACTTTTTCTGTCTTAAAAAATAGATTTTTCCACAAGAATTTATCAATAAACAAGGTAAATAGTGAAAGTATGCTTATACAAAGCTTAAGTCACACATCAACGAAGACAGACAAAAGTTTAAATATCAACACTTTTTTGGTCTCAAAAATCAGATATTTACACAAGAATTCATCTAATAAACAGGATAAATAATGAAAGTATATGTTCATACAAAACATAAGTCCCACAACATATGAAGAAAAGCTTTCCATATGCTTTGCCTTTCAAAAGCTTGATATCCATCCTTTCAAACAACAATAAATATCACTTAAACAAAATGCAAGAAATGAGTAACGTTGAGAGGAAAAATAGAAATGCTATTAACAAACAAAAGGTATGCTGTACATAATGAGTTGGGTTAATCCATAAATGAACCATTATAACTTAACATAACCGAGAAAGTTAGAAACAAAGCTGGTTTGCATACTGTCTTAAACTAAGAAAAGTTTTTCACTTAATTCATCAATAGATTAACCGAGCTAGTTCAAGCCAACTCATTCTAAATTAGAAATGTCATGTGTTTGCTTTTAAAAACAATGTCATGTGTTTGCTTTTAAAAACAATGTCATGTGTTTCTTATCTTAAACTAAGACAAGTTTGTCACTTAATTCATCAATAGATTAACCGAGCTAGTTCAAGCCAACTCATTACTGAATTTCAAATTACATTACAAAAATTGTACAATGATACAGAAAACTCCGGCGTGGAGTAAATGAAGATGCATCAGCCCACTCATGTAAGAAAAATCTAGGGCTAGATACTATCAATCAGTTTTTACCAACCAGAACAGAAAGAAGGAAAAAAAACTATCAATCAATCTTCTTTGAAGTAAGAAACTTCTTCGTGATATCAGATTTCAACTTGCACCCAAAAGTATGTGTTTTTAAGAATATGCTGTCAATGTCTTCCTCCTTCTTTTCATAAACGTAGAAAGCTATAAATGCCAAGGTAAATCCTGAAACCAAGACAAGAAACAAACTAGTATCATTATCATCCAACCATTGTGAATTCAAATAAAACAAACAGCATGAGAGAGAAAAGAGGAGAGTACCTATAGTATACAAGTTATGAAGTGAAAATGCTCCCAGGAAGCTGCAGAGAGAAAACAACCTATTGATCACAAGGGAGAGATGTGTCAGCACATATGTAAGATTGACTACATATAAAATTTTGATGCAAGAGATTTTTGTGTATACCTTGAAGAACAACACCGAATTATTCCCTTCTGCGAGAGATTTTAAAGCACTCACAGTAAAATTCCAAGATGAGGCTACTCTGAGAGCAATTCGATTTGACCTATCTTCTGATAAGTGAAACCATGATGGTGGCATTTTCTCAATAGTGTACCCCAATCTGAGCAAGCATAAAATGCAACTAAAGTTAGAATTTGTAGTTTTTGAGAGAGACAAATTATTTCCTAAATAAGGAACTACTACATCAAAAGGAAACTATGAAAAAATATAAACAAATTAAATAAAGGAACACAGGTAAAATAACATATATACAACACTAAACATAGTACTTTCTCCTAAAATAGGAGACACTTGCCAACAGTAGTTACTATATTAGTAGTACATCATTGGACAAGTTAAAGACATTATGACAACATACAATGTTAATTGACAATCTGGTAAACTCATTGGTAGACAGTTTACTTACATTTTTGCAGGAAGAATGCCATGAATGAATAAACCGATCGATGAGTATATTAGAAGCTTTGCAAGAGCAGTAATGAAGGTATTCTCAGATGCAATGAAGTTGACGTATATTGCTATCAAGACTAACAATGTAGTGAAAGTTTGCTTTTTATCCTTCCAAAGCAAAGTGTCCGCAACTGCAAATCAGTAGATCAATTAAAACTACTAAATAAATAAATGAAAATTGTAATACAACTCTCAGCATTAGCTAGTTACACTGATGAGTTTGTATAGTAAGTAGAAGATGCCAAAGTTGATTATGCGAATAAGTGATCACCGGTAAAAAGTTTAGGAGTGGTTATGGATTTAGTTAGAAATACCAGCTCCAGAATCGGAACTTCAAGAGTTCCAATGCTTCAGTTTTCCTAGAGCTTGTCCATCAATAATATGCATGTTTTATTTTATTACAATTTTAAAATTTAAAATGCAATGCTACATATGATAAGATATGTGTAATCCTAAACTACAACTTCCTTCACTATCTTTGCAATTTTTAACTAATATATTTATCCTGGAATGTCTTTCGATGTTCCAAAGAGTCTCAAAGCCACTAGGCCGTACAATAAATTAATCGAAGAGCAGTTGCCATGTGTCTACTTCACAACAGCAAAAGCAAAACAAAAATAACAAAAATGGCAATTCCAGATATCCCAAACAAAGAAGTTGGATGAGTATCGTCGATTATTCATACCTCTTCCACTTCCAAGATATATATAAGCTTTGGAGGGACCTTCTCTTTCAGACGTAAGTTGATTTTCGGCCCTCAAATGTGGGTATGATTCAATTGTCCTCCGCAAGCCTTCCTGCAAGATAAATTGTAATCCCTTAATAACATGTGAAGAACACCGCACAAGAAGTAGGATTGACATACATACTCATTGCAATAGATTTAATAAAGAACCTTTGTTTTCCCATAAACATCATACATTTTAGAATCATGTCCCATACTTGATTTCTGAACATATTTATACAAGTCTTAACTCCAAATTATCAGTAGTTTTGTGCGATTTGAATTAGTGAGCATCTCATCATTTTTTTCAAATCTAAGCAACTTTTATGATAGTCACCAATTGAGCATCTCAATACAGTTCAAAAGCAGAAATGTTGGGAGTTAAAACAGCAAACAAATACTTTTCTGAAACGTCACAGAACCTGTAGAGTTACGATGGGTACATAGCCAAGGCGATCCTTTGCTTTTGAGCTATCGTAAGATCTGGTGCAAGATAAGAGCCTTATTCTTGACGGGGTTAGCTGAGGCACCTTCATTCCATATGGGCCAAGAAGCCTATATATCAACTCCACCAAATGTGCAATTGGCATGACGACAAATGCAGGGATCTTTATTCTTGGCCTGCAAGCTACATATCTCAGATAACAAAGGAAAGACAATGACAGCACAGCACCATAAATAAATAATTAAGTTCGTATTTGTTTATTTGGAAGAAAAACCATAAATGCATTCCTTATTCCTCAAAAAAATAATGTAAATAAGGATGCATTTGGATAAACCACTAAATTAAGAATGTATGCATAAGCTATTTCTAAAGTCAAAGTGTGAATATAGTTAAATAAGGATGCATTTGGATAAACCACTAAATTAAGAATGTATGCATAAGCTATTTCTAAAGTCAAAGTGTGAATATAGTTAAATTATTTTCATATAGCAGTTGTAAACTATAAGTCACCTTGGAGAGCTTATTGAAATAAGTTAAAAACAGCTTAAAAGATATCATATGCTATTTTTAGAAGTTTCCTCGAACACTTACATAGTTGTTTGTGCCATAAGATAAATCCAAATTAGCTATCAATTTTAGAAAAAGAAAGATCTAATGGTTAACAGTAAAAAAGAAATCACCTTTGATATCCAAGACCTTCCAAAATCAGAGACATGAATTCCCAAAACTTTATAGGTTCCATATTTGTGATGAAGTAAGCCTACATAACAAATACTTATCAGCATGACAACACACTAAACTAATTGCTAGGTTTTCTAAACTTAATATGCAAAGCTAATCAATGGGAAAAAAAAAAGTTTACCTAGCAAGTATTTGTCAACAAGTGTGTTTTTCATGTTTCCTCATTTGTCAAAAAAAAAACAAGATTTTACTTTTCGACATATTAGCATCATTCTATAAAGGGGGCACACCGCTGAAGAGCAAACAATGATTCAACGAAGAGCTTCGTTGTCCAAAACTTGAAATATATCCCCAGAACTTCTTTTAGATGTCTATTAACTTCCAGTTAAACACACAACTAGATCATTACTAAAAAAAGTAATATGGTACCTGTCCTGCAGCTTTCTCGGAAATGCTTCCCTCTGAAGCTAGAGCTCGATCACCACAAATATGGGCATGCGCCACATTTTCAACATATGTGAAATCATATACATTATTGCCATCACCAATAATGAACTGGTAAGAGAGTAATATAAATCGTCAATGAAAGGTTTTAAGAAAGTTTAAGCTAATAAGTTGTTTCACATGCACATTGGTCCCCCAACAAGTTTTTCCATATCCCTCCTCTTAATATCATCTTGAAAAACAACAATTTTGTTATTAGTCTCAGTCCAATTTTGTTCTTGTGGTTAATTTTATATTCAAAAAAACATATCTTAAATATCCTAATAAAAATGAAATTGCCATGAGTGTTTGATTAGTTATTTAAGCATTAAAAGACATCGAACATTTACCAAAAGACGGAAGGACAACGTTTACCTTGGATTTCCCTGCCCTGGCAGCATCAACCAATGACGGCACCAAGAGTTTATCACCAGGTCCAAAAATGCTGCTAGGGCGTATGCAGCACGTCAGTAGTCCACCAGTCCCGTTAGCCTTAATAACCAACGCTTCACCTTCCGCTTTAGTTGCCGAGTAATGATCATTATGCTGAAAGCAGTAGGATTCAAATCAAGACCATATGAAAACATTTCAAATCTACTTCCACCCCAATTGCTAGATTCAAGTTCGAATCCAAGTAAAAAAAGAACGAGAGTTGAAATCAATAGTACGTAGAGTAAGTACCTTAGGTGGATAAGGTAATGATTCATTTCCATCATGAACTCCATGAACACCATCAAAAACAACACTAGGAGAACTAGTGTAAACGAGCCTCTTCACTTTTAACTCCACACATGCTTCAATAACATTCTTTGTTCCTTCAACAAGAACAGTAAACACCTAAGTTAGATCGAAAACAAACAATAGTTAACAGCGAACAATAAATATGAATGTTTAGAAAAGCTTTTACCTTGAACACTAACAGAATAATGTAACTGATAATTGTTAATAGAAGAATTCGGAGCAGCCATATGAAACACAGCTTCAACTCCTTCAAATGCTGCATAGATTAAACACAAAAATTAACAATGCAAATTATTAATTAATCAATGTAATTTAATTTTTTGGTTTTGAGGCTATACCTTTTAGGAGTTGGGGTTTGTTGCGAAGATCGAGGGAGACGTATTGAGCACGACCGGAGTGTAGAGCTTGACCGAGAAGGCCTAATTGTTCGGAGGGTTCGAGTTCAATAGTGGGTCCCAAATCGGCGATGCGGACGCAGTAGGTGTTTAATCGGATTAGCATTTCGACTAAATGTCGTGCGGCGAATCCACGCCCGCCGGTGACTACGCACCATCCCTCCTCCGCCGCCATCGGATCGGGAAGTTGCACAGAACAGTGAGTGAAATGAAAATATCAGAGTGAATAGTCTATTTCCGATTTTATCCTTGATTTATACTAATTGTCAATTCCCGAGTAGCCTTTAGTTTGAGTTTTGAAGATTCTTGCGAAGAAAATGGGTTTGGTTTTTTTTTTTTCTTTTAATCCAACTTCTAATTGTTGTGATAACCAAAATAATGAAAATAAGAATTTTTTTGTAATGGCAAAAAATATCCACACTAACACCGATTGGTTTGACAAAATTGGGGGAGAGAAAGCTTGAGAAGAGAGATGGTATATACCGTTAAATCATTTTTAAATTTTTTTCGGAATCTATTAAATTACTTAAGATTGAAATAACTCAATTAATTTTTTCATTTCAATAATGAAATCATTTTTAAATTTTTTTCGGAATCTATTAAATTATTTAAGATTGAAATAACTCAATTAATTTTTTCATTTCAATAATACAATTCTAAAGAGTTTATATTGGGTCTCACAATTTTACTTTATATATTAATATTTTATTTATATTATTTTATATTATTTAAAATAATAATTTTAATTATTTAAATTAAAACTGATATAAAATAAATTAAATTCAAATTAAATTTATAATTTAAAATGATAATTAAAATTAATTTTAAATACATAACATATATTTAAAAACAATAAAAATAAATAACATCACATAAATTAATCAAACTTAAATTTTATCATCTTCATGTCCAAAACGTTCTCAAATATACTCGACTAGATCTTCTTAAAATTGACGATGAACTTGTTTTTCACGAATATTTGCTCTTCTTTGTAATCTTGTTGCAAGATTTGGATGAGGACCGCTAGATGTTTCAATTGTTGAGTTGTTGTTATCCATATTATCATAAGAGTAATCAAAATTACCTCCATATGTATGTCGTTCATCTTCAACAATCATGTTGTGCAATATGATGCACGAATATATGGTATGTTTGAGGGTGTCCATGTGTCAGGCACGCGCTGGCCACGTATAATTACAAATCGAGATTGAAGCACTCCAAATGCCCTCTCCACATCTTTTCTAGTTGATTCTTGATGTTGAGCAAATATTTTTTTCTTCTCTCCTTGTGGCATCGAAATGGTCTTCACAAATGTAGCCTACTCAGGATATATATCATCGGCTAAATAATACCTCATATTATATGGTGTTCTATTGATTGTATATTGCACATTGGGAGCATGTCCTTCCAAAATATCGTTAAACACATTGGATTGGTTTAGCACATTAATATCATTGTTTGAACCTGTAATACCAAAAAAAACATATCAAATCCATAAGTCTTGTGATGTCACTGCTTCAAGAATGATTATGGGCTTTCCATGATCACTTCGACAAAATTTACCTTTCCATGCAACAGGACAATTTTTCCATTCCCAATGCATACAACCAATGGAACCCAACATACCTGGAAAGCCACGTGACTCTCCCATTTATAAAAGATGTTCAATATCAGTGTTGTTAGGCTTTCTCAAACACTCAGCCCCAAATACAACATTCATTTCCCGAACAAATCTTGGTAAGCACTCAATTGAAGTGCTTTCACCTATTCGAACATATTCGTCTACAACATCAGCAGGAGACTCATACGCCAATATACAAATAGCAGACGTGCATTTCTGCAATGGTGAAAGACCCATTTTACCAGTTGCACCAACCCTCATTTGGAAATATTCATCATGATTTCCAAGGGCATCTACAATTCGAAGAAATACATGCTTATGCATTCTGAACCTTCTTCGAAATTGAACATCTGTGTATACTGGATTTTTCGAAAAGTAGTCATTGAATAATCGATTGTGCCCTTCTTCACGACTTCGATCTACCACTGTTATTCTCTTTGGCATAGAGGAACTTCCATATTGATGTTCATTCTCAAGTGGTTGTTCTTCATCACTGTCATCCATAAATTCTTCTTCAACCAACTCCTAAAATTCTTGGTCAAAATCATCTGAATTGTCTGAATCCATTTTAGTGACTAAAGAATGAGAGAGAAATGATAGAAGAATTAGAGAAGTATAAGATAAGAATAAGATGAGAATGAGAAAACAATGACATAAGTGGTAGTATATATAATGGTTTGTATAACGGCTAGTTTGAATAACGGCTAGTTTGAATAACGACTAGTTTGAATAACGACTAGTTTGAATAACGGCTAGTTTGAAGAATATAATTTTTATTATAATTTAAAGTGGTACTAATGACCATTTTACATATGTGTTAATAATTTAAAGTGGTAATAATGACCATTTTACATAGGTGTTTATAAATTAAAGTGGTACTAATGACCATTTTACATAAGTGATACTTACTACATTCCATTTTTTTTATCTTATTACAATATTTTTCATGAAGATCTCATTGAATATCATTCATAGTAGAAGTGTCTTTCATGATGATATGCATTACCTTTAATTCTAGCTCGTCCTCCTTACATTGAGTTAGTCTTTCCATTGTTGCTGCTCTTTTAATTCTTGCATCTTGCGTTGCATTTGGAATTTCCTTTGCCTTACCCTTCCTTTTTTATGTTTTTTGTCCCATTGGATGCTCCATTGGTGATGATGAGTTAAACTCATAATTTGAAGGTGTATCTAGGTTAGCCGATGATGCCCCACTAGCAGAAGTCTTTGTTATTTTTGAATAATTTCCAATCGATTCTCCCATCCATTTAGGCTAATCTTTTAACAATCTCCATGCGTACTCAAGATTAAATGTTGTACCTTTATCTTGAGAAAAAATCATGTGTAACGGCCATGATATCGTTCTCCGATGTCCCGCGTTTCTTTTCATTAACAACTTATTTGTAACACCCAACAAATTTTTGAACCGGACCATTTATTCGATGCCAACGACATTTTAATTATCCTCACGCATCATATACAAGTAAACATTGAAGGTGCTCAGGCTATGATCTATGGTGAGGATGAGTCAAAAAGCACGCGTGGGATCAAAAAAGGTCAAGCAAACAAAATTAAAATAATTGTCATGCTATCATTGGTTGAGGATGACACGTTGGTCATCTTCAATCTCCAACTTCAAAATTTTGCAGGAATTTAGGGCAAACTCGGGTTTCTACAAGAGGTAACCATTGTTCATGGGATTGGTATCATTAGAAGCATCTGAGTGAGACGACCTCAACCATATCCTTGCAAAAGTATTATTTAAACCATAGCATAGTCGATTTGGAAAAAAATCAGAGATGGTTCCTGTGATACGGTGGGAGAACTGACTTGGGTGTTTTGTGTTTTATCGCAAATGTTGCGGTTAGCATGAGTCGCCACCGACTTTTCTTTTATCCAAAAGGAAAGGTGAAAAAGTACAGGAAAGACCTTTGAGATTATTTCTTGAGTTCGGGGAGTAGATTATGAAAAGGGAAGGTATTAGCACCATTTTCATCCATGGTTTTCCATGGGCTCTTAGCTACTTTCTAGATCAGTTGTTTTTGTTTGAAATTGTGCTTTGTGTGGTTTTTGAAAGTATTTTGTGAAGAGGTCATTGTTTAGGCAAACTTTGTAATGATTCTCGTTCGTAAGAATGTATACAAAGACGTTGATCTTTTGATAATGTTTTCAAGTTTGCAAGATGTTTTGAAAGTGTAGGTGTTTGTTTTGAAAATAGCAAGGATGTTTTGTTTTGAAAGTGAGCAAGTAACTAGGAACATTCTACCTACTCAAAAGTCTTTCATGTTCATTTCCTCTTTCCTTTGACATTGTTATCTTACCATTAATTTGGTAAGTAACCCTGTCTTTGGATGTAAACGGGACGCGCATGGGTCATTGTATAACCATGATTAGCAATGTTGCAAGGTATCTTAGCATTTTTCTTTAGGGACTAAGATCATTTTGAGAAGGCAACATAGATAGCGTCATCGAGGGACTATGATCTTGTTTTTTGCTTGTTTTTTCTAAGATACCTCACATGCATAATATGGCCATTTTTATAAGACAACCAAGTGGATTTTACCCTAGGGGTGCTTGTGTGCAAGTGTATTGATTTCCATGCTTTGTTTAGTCTTTCATTAGGGTTTGCTACTTGTTGATTTTATCTTCTCATACAAACCTTAAGTACTAGCATTTATATAAAGTGATAAATTGTGAAGAGTAAAATTACTACGCTATTACATCATTAGGGGAGGGGGTGTACAAATTTACAAACGGGGATTGCAAGAAAATTAAACCTAATTATCTATTACAACCATGTTGAATATTGTACAAAATTGAAAATAAAATGCAAGAATATAAATGGAAAAAGAAATGATTTTTGTCGTTTTTATGAAAGGGGTTTTAACCTAATTAAGAGAGATGATTAATGAACAAAAATTTAAACATAAATTAATTAAGAAAGAAATTAAGTGAAAAATGTATTTTAGGGTTTTATTTATGAAAAGGTTTTAACTTAATAAAAACAATATAAATATTAATTAACTAAAATAAACATAAGTTCTAAATTAATTTTAAATAAAAGAAAATAAAATAATAATTAAACCTAAGTCAAAAATATTAATTATTTAAGAAAAAAAATTAATTTGTTTAAGAAAATGTTTTTTAATCTTTTTTGTTTTATAGAGAAAATAAAATATATAAGTATGAATAATAAATAAAAATATTATTAATAAAAATAATAATAATATTAATAATAATAAATAATAAAAATATTAAAGAAAATAAAATATAATAAAATATTAAAAAAACAGAAAAATGAAATAATTAAAAAAATGGGCCAGGGGGTGCAAAAGTAAATCAAGGTTAGGAGTCAGCAAAAATGGGAGGCCCAGCACAAAGGCCCAAGCGCTGCAAAAAAGCTCAAAAATGTCAAAAATAATGAAACAAATATGCAAAAGGTCACGCTGGGGCCTGAATCCAGGACCTAAGGGTGACAGGCGCGCGGTTTAACCACTGGGGTGGTGATACATTCGTTAACTTGTGTGAAAGGATAAATACATAACACAAAACGCGCC